CGGCAGGCACTGCTCTGCATTACTGGGGCGCTGAGGTCAACCCCAACAAAAGCACTCGAAACAATACTCGGAATTGACCCCCTAGACATCCACGCTAGACTGACTGCAGGTAAGGCAGCACAACGCCTAGTCGCATCAGGCAATATGTCGCTGCAAGGATTCGGGCACAGTTCAATAGGCCGAGACATGATCAGTATATCTGACTACATGATCCCCCGAACGTGCCTGGACGTCAAAACAGCGATACACATGGAACCCGACGACTGGAAAGAAAGTTGGGACCAGAACGAACACCTAAACATATACACGGATGGCTCCAAGATGGAGGGAGGAGTAGGTGCGGGCATATATTGTACAGACCCTGAAATAAGGCTGTCATATAAGCTACCGGACCAATGCAGCATATTCCAGGCAGAAGTCTTTGCCATACGGAAAGCGGCGGAGGTTGCTCGATGTACGGAACGCCCACATAATGTGGTCAACCTGTTCGTGGACAGCCAGGCGGCGATAAGATCCATGCAGTCGTCAGCGGTCAGTTCCAAAAATGTCCTGGCAAGCAGGGAGGCACTAGATTTCCTAAGCACGACAAAGTCAGTGCGGATCTATTGGGTTCCCAGCCACCAGGGCATCGAAGGTAACGAGACAGCAGACGTACTGGCTAAGGAAGGCGTCGGGCTGGCAAACGACAGGACTGAGAACGTGCCTGTCTCCCTCAGAGCGCTCCAAAGCGATCTAGAAAGGAGGGCACACATACAGGCCAGCAGCAGGTGGAGGAGAACCACCAACTGCAAGATCGCGAAAACCATGTGCAAGGAGAGCAACGGTAAACTCAGCCAATACCTACTACACCTACCACGGAAGGACTGTAGGATGCTAATAGGTATACTCACAGGTCATTGCCTGGCTGCAGCACATGCAGTCAAACTAGGCATCACCAACAGTGACAAGTGCAGGAAATGTGATGAATCTGGGGCTATCGAAACCCTGGAACATCTAATCTGCCAATGCCCGGCCCTCTCAAGGGCAAGAAACATACATCTTGGCAGCCCGGTACTGGCATCGCTGGAAGATGCATCCAAGAGGACGCCAGCGAAACTCCTTGCCTTTGCAAAACTCTCCTCGATCCTCACGGATTTCAAAACCGCGTAAAAACACTCAGAAGGTCCATACGCACCAATCCGGACAACTAAGGGCCATATTGGCCTATGCGTGGCCCCGTGAGGGCCGTCCGGGACAACCTAACCTAATACCTGTAACTTAAAAACGCGATCTGATGGAAAAAATGGCGATCATATTTGAAATCAGCGACCTCAAATTAGTAAAAAAAACTTCAATCACTTTTCAATCAACACACAAAAAGTTTAATTTTGTTCCCTTGTGTAATCATTGTTTAAATTCGATGAATTCCTAAACATTAAATACATTTAGTAAGCAGCGAAGCGCGCGGGTCTGCTAGTAGTTTATAAGATTATATTAAAACTTATAAGACTATCGTATACGATTAGATATTTAGCATTAAAAATTGGATATTAGATATTATTAATAGATATTGTTAATAAATATCAACATCTACATACATTACACATCTTCTCAGCCAGAGTCTAGGAATAATGTGAGATCGAGAGAGAGAATAAATAGCGCAGCAAACTAGCTACTGAAAATTCGTTGCTTTATTCTGGCTATAATAATGATATGATCTAAACCAGATTAGGTAATTGCATTCGTCATTCATTACGATACTGCGTTTTCCCATTTCTCGTATCCTCAAAATTGTAGATGCCACAGATCCTTTATTTTTTAAGGAGGAAGACGGCGAGGCAAACTTTTGAAACAAACATGATTCAGTGTGATATCCCATAAGTCTGGAAGCAAGATATGGTTTCTCTAGCTCGTATTATCTCTGAGAACTAAGCGTTAAGCAAGACGGACAAACATGGATATGGATACATATCTACTCGGCTATTGATGCTGATAAAGAATATATTAATATATAAAATTGTCTATCTGGGTGTTACACGCAATAACTTCCACTACAAATCTAATAATCTTCGAGTACCAAGCGCAGCATTGTAGAAAATTATCATATCTACCAGATCACCGAATCTTAATCATTTTGGATCATTATTATACCCTGGCTCCCCGTGCCGTGAGGGTGCCGGCTGGGCAATGGGCACTGCATTATCCCGGATCGGCTAAAGCATTGCCGCTTACTCTGTCCGAAGTAATGCAGTGTCTAGACAAGGCCAGGTCCAGGTCTTCCCGACCTAAAATTGGGGGATCTGAACCATGGCCATGGCTGGAGGGGCCTGGCGGGTAGGCATAAAACGCTAGGGGGTGGTCCCCCCGAGAAACATCAACCGATAAAGAGCCTCGGGCCAACAATGGAGCGGACGGATGATCAAACACGGGTTGGGATGTCAACCCAAACGTCGGTGGAAAGCGTGACTGCTACCACCATCGGGCACGGGGAGAAGCAATCCTCTCAGCCTGTCGCCAGCGGTCACACCTCGGACATGGCGGGATCAAGTCATTTCAGTTATAATGCTACTGCCACAAAACGGACTCACTCCAAGCTGAGCACAGGTGCCGTAGTCGAGACAGACTCGGACCTGGAGAGCGTGCTCACGGTCAGCAAGAAAGAGGAAGATAGCCTTCTCCGCTCGCCTGAACCCGGTTCCAGCTCCCTGCGTAGCTAAGGGCCGAGGCCTAGGGAGGGGATGAAGACTAAGGCCCAATACCGGCTCCAAGGCAGAAAGGACATCTCCCAAGAGGAGAAGTCTAAGCTAGCCTGGGCTGAGCAGAAGGTGGAGGAGGGCCGCTTACACTTTGCGCAGATGCCGCAAATGATAGGGACGAAGGGCGGATTTTCCAACAAGGTGGAGGAGGTTCTCGCCACGAAAAGGCAACGCTCGACCGAGAGCGGCATTAAGGACCAAACGGCAAAGAAGCCTAAACCTAAGGCGAGAGTCAATGAGGTGACCATTGACCTGACGCAAACGGTCTGCCAACTGGGGGCGATGTGGGTGTACCCCAGATTCGGGAAGATGGCGTGGTGCATGGGTAGCGAATACCTCCACCTTAAAAAGCGCCACCCCGAAGACAAGGACGCGTACTCCCTGCAGGCAGGCGAGGTGCAGAAGGACCGCCCTGGATCTTGCGCTGAACGACTCCGAAGAGAACGAGGTGACCTGACAATAATAGTCAACTTCAAGTGTAGTGGAGCCACCCTCCCATGTCATTGAGAGTGCTTCAGCTCAATCTTCATAAAAGCAAGCTCATGTCGACGGAGCTCCTCATTGCCATGGAGCAAGGGCCCGGCGACATAGCTTTGGTCCAGGAGCGATTGCCTCTGCCAATGCTGTGGCCGGACTAAAGTCCTCCAATTATAACCTTTTGCACTCACCCTCGGTGAGCAGGACCAGAACCGCCGTAGTCGTACGAAAGGGCATCCATGCTTACCTTTCGTCTCATTACAGCCCAGATCACCTGACTGCGGTCATGCTAGAGAGCGAGGAAAAGCACCTTATGGAAGCTTCCTGCTATATGCTAACACACGACAGGCCAGCTCCACCGTAAGAGCTAAGGAGTCTGGTGGCGAAAGCCCGCCCGAAAGACCAGCAACTTCTCTTTGGTACGGACGCCAATACCCACCATAGCGTGTGGGGAAGCCCCGATATCAACGAAAGAGGTGAGTCACTTCTAGACTTTATACTATCAACTAACCTAAATGTAGCAAACGTGGGGGAGGAACACACCTTCGTAACTCTCACCTCGTCTAACGTACTAGATCTAACACTCGTGACGGGAAAGAGTACTTTGGTATCTGGCTGGGAAGTCCTTGAAAGACCATCGTTCTCAGACCACAAGTACATTCAGTTTAAGTGCGAATTTAAACACTCTCCGAAGATAACTGTCTGTCGAAATCCCCGGAACACAAACTGGGAAGAGTTTAAAAAGACAGTTACCTCGAAGCTCGCGACTCGCCCGGGCACAGTGAATTTCCCGAAAGACATAGAAACGTCCCTAGAGACCCTATCCAAGGAAGTACTATATGCGTACCACGCATCATGCCCACCCTCGAGAACGAATAAGGGAACCAAACCACTTTAGTGGAGCCGGGACTTATCGCTTCAAAGAAACTACCTCAAAGAATTCTTCAAAATCGCCAAACGTGCGAACGATGAGATAATTAATGAGGAATACAAAACCCTACACAGGGAGTAAAAGATTATGGGCCGATAAGCCGCACCTCCTTCCTACTCAAAACTCTAGAAAAGCTGCTGGATCTACACATCAGGAACGATTTAGGTGGACCTAAATACCTGGGCGCCCCGGTACTGGCATCACTGGATGATCACATCTATTTTAGAGTCTTGCATGAAAAGCTGTAATCATGCCCCTTTAATTACCAATCCATCCTTCAGTCATATTCCAATCACCCGAAATCACAAAAAAACCGAATGCGCGTACTGCGTATTAAAATCAGCAAGTTTCGTTCGCATGTCTCGGAATGTACTCAAAACATTCTTCAAATTTGGTGTTCTTTCAGCTACGCACATTTGCCTTTTTTTTTTGCACACAACTAATTTTTAACGAAATTTTTTGTTTGTTTGGCTCAAAAATTCTCTTGTTGAATATGAAACAATTTTTTTTTAGTTTGAAACAAGAAAAACAGAACTTAATATCGAAATTTTGAAATACACTTGTAGCAGTGTGATATCACATGAGTCTGTAAACAAAATTTGGTTGCCCTAGCTCTTAGAGTCTCTGAGATCTAGGCGCTCATCAAGACGGACGGAAAGACAGACATGGCTATATTGACTCGGCTATTGATGCTGATCAAGAATATATATACTTTATAGGGTCGGAAACGTTTCCTTCTCTGCGTTGCACACATCCACTTTCACAACAAATACAATATACCCCTTAACTCTTTTTGGAGTACGTGTAAAAAAATATTTCTTGGCATGAATTTTTGGTTTGTAACTTTATACATTTACCTGCAATACCAGCATTTCTCTTCCCTCTAGTTTTGAATTGAGTATTTCTTTTGTAATACGTTGCTGAAGCTCGAATAGATCGTCTGGTAGGTCTGGTCCACTATCTTCCTTTTTTGTAAGATTTATTGGAGCTGCTGCGACAACAAGATCGTTACGTAAATAACTATTGTTACCACTCGGCCTTTTACTGAGTTCTTTAGAGACATTGTCGATATTGTCATTTTTTTCATCAATCAAAATCGTTGAATTTGTTGTTCCTAATTCGGTTGTTCCAAATGTTTTCATATCGTCAGCCTGCATTTGGATCAATTCGCGAGTCCCTTTGCGAACCCCGCGAGTTTCACGATGAGCCTCCTTCTCTCGCACATCAATGAAATCAGTAGCAAATCTGTTGATAAATAATTAACTATTTTAAAAATGATTGATCACTACTAACATAAATATTAAGCTAGTAAGATTTAATACCATCTGTTGTGAACGTTAAATTAATCTGTCATGCTCCGGTTATCGCAAATCGCAAAAAGTTACGAATGGACTGTCAAATCAAAAAAGAGCATGCTCCTGTTTTCGGAATCTTAAGATTCTTACGATTTCAAATCGATTGCTAATGAGCTTGCGATTTCAAAACTGAATTGCACATAGATACAAATTTATATGAGCAGAAAAATATGTAAACATATTTGCAAATGCTTTAAATTATTTTTTATATAATTGAAACTTATTTTCGTATATCTAAATTTACGAGGAAGGGTCAATAATTCCGAGACCTTTTGGATTAAAAACCAGTTTGTAACGAACCCTTTTTTTCGTCTGAGCGAGGCTGGGCTAGTTCAGGTTCGATACAACAAAATTATATTGTTGCCCGACGACCAAGTAATCACGCAGGGAGCTTACGTAATGTTCTTTATTGTATCTTAGAGTACGACTTAGGGCTATGGATATACAGTGGATGTTTTAAATGCAACGACCTGCCGCTCACGTGACCTGTTCCAGGCGTAGCACGTTGGTAACTCTGACTCGCGGGCACGATCTCAGCGTTTTCCTCAATCCGCCTCTCTGAATCCAAACTCAACCGTTCGCCTTTCACTCTAGTACCACCCAGCTGATGCTAATCTTCTCTTATCTCTACACTCACTCTGCGCTCGGGCCACGCCTTGTTTCTCCTGGGACTCTTTATCTCGCTCGCTTTATTGCACTCACTCGGACACTTGACCGTTCACTTCGATTGCCCGCGTGGGAAGAGACCGCATCACCGCCGCCGGCCCCAATGTATAGGCCTCGGCTAACGGTTCTCCCACGCGGCCCGTGTTTATCCATCGGCCATTCCTTTTGGTTCCTCCGAGACCCGGCCAGTGGCTTGACTTTGTGACCAAATTTGGACATGCGTCGAGCTGCTGCCAGCTCGGAAAGTAATGCCTAGTCGGGCGGGAAGGGACAGAAATGCTAATAAGGCTACTGAGGGCAGTGGAATCAACCTCACCAGCGAAAAGTTTGTGAAGAAGAAGAACTCCAAGGCAAATCCTGCGGTTTTCAAGACAGCGGATATCGAGGAGCGGGAGCCTACTCTCATAAGAAGGAAGATGTCTAGAGGGGTCCAAATTAAGGCCACGAAGTGCAAAAAGGATGAACTGTTTTGGAACGGACTCAATCATATTCTGATATTTTTGATAATGCGGAGACAAAACGCAGGAACCGTATTCAAGGATAGGCCGGACAAGGGATACATATAAAATTTTAGTGGTATAAGGGTCTGTGAACTCCTTAGACCATCTTTTGATAAAGCCCAGGACACCTCTGGCTTTATTCGAAATAGCGGATGTGTTAGTTAAAACATAGATTAGGTACAAAGATAATTCCAAAGTCAGTTTGTTAAGGCGGTTTAAGGAACAGTTATGGATATTGTAGTCAATAAGGTAAGACTTGCTGCGATGGAATGTCATGACGTTACATTTGGAAATGTTAAGGGGAAGAATGTTTATTAAGCACCAGTTGTTGAGAGTGTCAAGATCAGATTGGAGACATAACGGGGACATGGGGTCGCTTAGAGAGAGAGTTATTAAAATAGACACGCTGAGATCGATTACAAAGGTATGCATTAATCCAGAAAAGACGTTTAGGCGGAAACCATAGGAGAGATAATTTATGGATAAGGAGATTATGATTTACTGAATCAGAGGCTTTACTAAAGTCAGTATAGACTACATCAGTTTGAGACTGCTTTGCGAAACCCGCACGGACGAAGGTGGAGAATTCCAGGAGGTTAGAAGAAATAGACCGACGTTTTAAAAATCCATCCAGGAAAAAAAAAAGTGTTGCAGCTGGAAAGTAATTATTTTTTCGAAGAGTTTGGGAATGGCAGATATCCAGATTTTTTATCCAGATGGTGGGAAAATCGCCGAGCTCGAGAGATAGGTTAAACAGCTTAAGGAGGGGCACACAGAGAGAATTTGCACAAAGTTCAAGAACAGGACCAGGAACCAAATCGGGGCCAGTAGAAAAAGAAAATTTACATGACTTTAAATTAATTAAGAGGTCATTACAGTCGATAAGGGGGGGATAGATACAGTTAGAAATATTAGTGTGGAAAGGATAAGATTGATTGGGACAAAGTATGTCAGATGAAGCCAGAATATATGGTTATTAGAGGGAACTGAGTAGCAGAGTTGAAAAAATGAAGCGAAAAGATTAGCAATATCACAATCGTTGTCAGCCTTGCTGCCATTAAAAGAAAGAGATGACAGAAATTGGGAAGAGTTACGTTTCGAGTTGACAAACCTAAAAAATTGCATCGGATCACGCTTAAAGTTAAGTACAGGTAGTCATTATAACATGTTTTATTAAATAACAAATATTTACTATTAGCGATTGAATACTTAGATAAGTCAGATGCTAACCAGTTATTTTGAACCTTTTATGCAAGCGATATTTAATATTCGGAAGGTTTATCAAACGCGGGGTGAACCAAAGAGGGCCACTAACATGACACGAAGGTGAAATTAAAGGTACATAGGTATTCAAAATATTGAACATGGAACAATAAAATGCATTTGTACCCGGCTCAATTTTATAAAAGTCGTCGAGAAATGACCAATCGATCTGAGAAAGTGCAAGATTCAAGCACGTAAAATTTGCTCTTCTGAAGCAAAAGATGGTGGCTTAACGGGAGATTTGATGGGATCAGAGGAGGGCAACTGCACGGAAATTTCAAGTGTGGGATGATAAGGGTCTTCTGGGAAAGATAGAGGAGATCCTCTGCAGACCAGGGTACTCGATATGTCGGAAGAAAACACGAGATTAAGAAGCCTACCCAAGTTATTGGATATAGCCATTAACCTGACCCAACGATGTATCCGACAATGGATCAACAAAATCATGCTGAATAGATGGGAACATCAGGTTAGAGTCCACAGAAGGAGACCATGTTAGGTAGGTTAAAGTCTCCAAGGACTATAAAACGATCAGAGTCATTAAGTTGGGACGCAACAGACTGAAGATGGGTAACGTGAAGCATACAAGTGGAGAATTCGGAGGACGGCGGAGTGTAAGAGCAGGATATAAAGAGATTAAAACAGGGCCAGCAAAGCATAACAACAATAATTTCAATGTTATTATGCCGAACGAACAGCAATCAGGACAACGCCACCACGAGATGGACGATCATACCTATATATATTAAATTTGTCAATGAGAATCTCGGAGTCATAAATAGAGGAGTTGAGGTTTCGGAAAAAGCGATTACATCAGTCTCGAAAGATGCACTGTCAGTATATAGCTTGTTATGCTTACTGCACAAGCCAAGAAGATTCTGATAGGTTATCTTGAAGGGAAAGAGGAGAAATTAGTTTTTTGAGGCCGAGGGTAATGCTGCCGGAGATGGAGTTGGACGGACAGAAGTTAAAGCAGTCGGAGATGGAGTTGGAAGGACACCCACTCCGTCGTTCATGGCTAGAAAGAGGGGTCGAGCACACTACTGACATGTTCGTCCGTAACAAGAATTTTGAAGGAAGATATGTTGCGTTTAACTTTAAAGTTATATTTAGTGACAAGACCTGAGGAATCATCAATGTCAAGCTTAGCAAAGATAAAGTGCCTGACCAGGACATCCATAGCCGATGCCATCAGTCGAGAAACGAAAATAGATTTTAGTGGGGCGTCAGCAGTGAGTATAGAAGGAGGGATGGTAGAACTATTAGGTAGAACCAGCGGATCAGATTCAACCTGATGGGCATAATCAGCAGATAATGGGCCATATTCTGAGTTGACGATGGATGCCGAGGTAGACGGAGCCTTCACATCCATGCTGGCGGTAGCGTCAGCGGGTTTCAGTAAAGGCACCGAAGCTCCAGCGACAGGATCGTCATTGACTTCCCGCCTGAAATCGCAGTCAGACACAAGCACGGGAGACAAGGCTGTTGAGGGGGCGGATGCAGAGGCCACAGTCGGTGCCCCATTACATCCAAGTTCGACAGCACCAAAGTCTATTAAAGACGGTGAACGAATTGGGGGTAAAGGAGATCCATGAACTGCAAGAAAAACAATATTGTTACCAGTGGTCAGACTGTTGTTACCTTTCTTTCTCTTAGGCGACTCAGTTAAAATTTTAAGATTTTTAAAGTGAGACTCCAAAGAAAGAAAGTTTTTTTTTCATGTCTGGACGTTGATATGCAATGACTGCACCATCAAGTGGCCCATGCGACACCAAGCCGAAGCCTTTTACGCGCGGAACCCAGGCAGAAACGCAGCCCTCCTCCCACCCAACCGACCGAGGGGCGCTGCCGCATGACGCGCGACGCGTGTTACCGAACCGATCGCGAGCATGCAGGAAAGATAGGTGTTAGACTAAAATTCGAGGAAAATTAGAGCTAAACACAACTCTAAGAGCTAAACATCCAAAGATAGCTAAAAAATATAACTAACTAGCTGACCCGGCAAACTTCGTACCGCCTAACAGTCAATGAATGTCGTGTTACTTTTTAGTTGAACTAATTTAGGCTGTATTTTCATTCAAGCACTTTGTGGTAAACGACATTCTTTGTTTTTTGGTCAGGCGCAAGAACAAATAAAGCGGATGGTTTGCCGACACGTGAGCATGCCACGTACAATTGACCATGAGAAAAACATGCATTTTCTAGATTGAGGCCACAAATAGTCAAGGATTGGCCCTGTGATTTGTTGATCGTCATGGCGAAGGCAAGACGAGTCGGGAATTGAATTCGTTTAAACTCAAAGGGCATATCCGTTGGGATAATCGGAATCCTTCGAATAAGAACTTCCTCATCTTTAAATTTTCCTTTAAGTATCGACGCGTGAATAACATTGCTCATCAGTTTTATTATCACCAAACGCGTTCCATTACACATTACTACCATTACTACCGAGCCAACTTTA